CGCCGCTGGAGGGGGCCGCCGCCCCGACGGCATCTCCGTCCCTGATCCCCCGTCCCTGATCCCCATCCCCGCCCTGACGGGATCGTTATCTCCTATTCCCGATCCCTGATCCTCGCCAGGCTCCCCGTCCCCGATCCTCCATCCCCAATCCTCACCCCAACGGTATCCCCATCCCCAATCCCTGCTCCCCGCTCCAATGGGAACCCTGTTCCCGATCCCTGCTCCCCATCCCCACCCCAATGGGCTCCCCAATCCCTACTCCCTGCTCCCCACCCAATGGGCTCTCCATCCCCGATCCCTGCCCCACCAGGCTCCCCAATCCCTATCCCTGATCCCCAATCCCTGCCAGGCTCCTCATCCCCGATCCCAATCCCCAGTCCCCACCGGGGTCCCCCTTCTGCTCCCCGCGGGGCCATGGCACTCAGCACCGGGAGATGCAGGGAAAGGCCCTGGGTAAGGCAGCGGCTGCCAGAACCAGTGCAGGGGTGGCCCTGTGACCCCAACCCTTCAAAAATGAACTGGAAATACCCAAGAGCTGGTCACCAGCACCTTCTTCTCTGCTCCTCTTTATTCAAGCAGCTCATCAGCATCTTAAATCACACAGGGCAGCTTTGCTTATTCCTACAAATTGCCCCCCGCCCTGTTCTAACTGTGGGCAAGGGCCAGCCTGCTGCTTGTTTTCCCACCAGTTCCTACCCCCTCCCAAGGCTTATCTTTAATCTCTGATCTGCAAGCAAGAAATGCAGGCAGGAGAGCCAGCCCTGATGGCTGTGGCGAGGTGTCATTGCAGGCAGGAGCGGGGCTCAGCCCATGGGGCTCTGAAACTCGTCGGTGTCACCTCCTGCCCTGCTGATCCCTGCGGGGCTGTAGCTCACAGAAGTGATCAGCCTCCCTGCTTGTAGCTTTTTTTCTGCTTGTTAATAGCGAGGATTTTTCAGCTTCCCCCTGCTATTGATTTTAAAGGACTTCTCCTCTCCTGCAAATCATGTGTCTTGTTTAGAAGACCATTTAATTCACTCTTTAATCAAAGAGGGAAGACACCAGAGTATTGGTTCCTGACATCTGTGGCTGTATGGGAAACCAAGCCACGCTCAGGAGATGTCTGCATCGATGTGGCTAATCCACCACAGTGCCACCTGGTAAACCAGCTCCCCCAAGGGGAATTGCTAGCCAGGATGCAGGCGGGCTTAGAGGAGCATTGCCCTGGTCACTGAACTGCTGGCTGGATCCCATCTCCTTGTGCTTCAGTTTCCCTACTGGCTTTTTTATTTTTGCGTTGGTTTTGTTTTGGTTTGGTTTGGTTTTGGTTGTTGGGGTTTTTTTTTGTCTATTTAAATTACAAATGCTCACCCTGCCTAGCTTTCTGGAGGTTTGTGTGTATACAGAGAAGGGGTCTCAGTCTTTGCAGGCCTTACTGGTGCTGATCCTAATAACAGTAATGGGTGTGCAGTGGTTAGAAACCAGAGCAGGTCAAACTGGCTAAAGCACATGTATCTCGGGAGCTCGTCCTGCAGCATCACCAGCCCAGCCAGCTTGTGCACCCACTGATGTTTGTGAGGAAGCTGGTTTCTAGAGAGTAACTGAGAACTTAAGAATAAAAAATTATGTTCTGAAATCCTAGACTGTCATCTCCAAAGCTCCTCTTAAGCAGGGAGAGTGGTGACAGGTTTAGTGACTGTCCTCCAGTTCTGGCAAACCCCACTTTTTGGTGATCTGTGGTGCCGTCAGTCCTGAATGTAAACATCCTGCAGCTCTCGGGCCCATGAAGGCCTTGTCACTATGGAAGTGGAGGAGAAGGAAGGAAAACTGCAGTTTTGCTAGTACTGCTTGTACGAAGGAAAGACTCTGGCTCCAGTGGGGTTTAAGGCACCATGTGCTATTATCTGGTCAGGTGGAGAGAGGGGAGAAAAAAGAAAAGCATGGAGCAACATGCCAACCAGAATATCCCAGCTGAAATTCTTACACCTAAACGTTCCAGCCTAAAAAACACCTGTATAGAGCAAAATTTGTGTTCAGGATGGAGCAGCTGTTCCAAGCACAGATTCCAAACAATTTCTGTGGTAAAAAAGCCTTAGTGAGTAGCTGATATAACCCATTTTTTCACCGAGAATGATGTGCCAGTAGGGCCAGCACACAGCACAGGCTGTTTGCTTTGCTGTTCCCAGGTGCATCATTGCAGGCAAGTGTGTAAAGGGTCCTTAATAACACTGCAGCACACTTCAGCATCTTGGTTTCACAATGAATCTGCCTCCTGTGCTCTCTCTCGTGGCGCAGCCCTCCTGAGTGAGGCATCCGTGTACAGGGGAGCGGATGCAGGCAGAGCTGATGTGCTCAGCTGGAGCTGAGGAGAGATTCCTTCTTCGGACTGAGATCACTGGCTTGCGTTTGCTATGTTGAAAGGCAAAAATGCTGTGTGCTCTTAGATGAATTGGGTCAGGGAGGGAGGGATGCAACCTGATGGAGTCAATCTGAAATAAGCTCCCCCTGCCCTGCCCCTGGGCTGTGAAGTCTGGCAGAGAGCTGGCCCTTGCCATGGCCACAGCAGCACCAAAAAGCAGCTGGAGCCGAGTAGGGCACAGGTCGGCTCCTTCCCTGGATGTGCAGGGGTTTGGCAGAGCTACTGGACCCGGTCTGAGCTAAAGGATCCCTCCCTCGTCCAAAGCAGATCCCCTTAACCAAAGGGGAAACATCAGAAAGGTGAAGTAAAAGATACACCAGCCAACAGACGAGACGCTGTTTCTGCGGATTCTGCTGAGTCTCTTGAAGACAAATTGTTCCTTGCAGCAAGGATAGAAACAAGGTCATTCATAAAAGAGTAATTGATGTCTGGCTGGTGACATCCCTCTGTGGGGCTGATGTGGCTGCCTCCTGCAAGGGCAGCAGGCAGCAGCCCGCGGCCAGCCCCGAGGAGCTCCAAAGGTCTGGGAGATGGTGAACCAGCCTCAACCCTTCCATATTTTGTATGCAAACTATCTGTTGCCTTTTTCTTTTTTCCTCCAAATGTCTTCTAATGTAATTAGAAAGTTGCTCTTCCAAAAGCCTTTTGGCTGGGAAGAGAAAAAGCAGCCTATAATTAATTTATAAGATGTTCTCGGAGCCACGTAATTGCTGCACACCGGCTGGATGCAGGGGGAGCTTCCCAAGGGGCCGTGTCTTGGTATTCCCAGAGAAGCTAGACAGAAATAAAGGGAGAGCTGATGCTGGAGGTGAAGCACTGAGATGTGGGGTGGAGCTGAGAAAGGGAAGATGAAAAGGAGGATTTTAATCTGCTGGGGTTTCTGGCCCCAGAGAGATGTAAGTGCTGGAGCTGGTGGGAGAAGGAAGGGTGAGCACAGGGAGGGGGGGAGAAAACTGGGTGGTCCCACTCACAACACTGTTCTCACTCTCCAGGTTCATCAAGAGTCCTCTCAATTAACTTCTGACTGGAACAATGTGTGGAAGAGCTTTCACATTGCTGTCAGAGCTGTTTTTTTCGTGTGCCATAATTGTCTCCTTGTTTTTTCTTGCCTCTGAGTTTGATTTAAGTGAAAATGGACTTTGTTATGCTGTTTGTTTGGGGGAGAAGTTGTTGGAGGAGGTGCAAAATGCAGGGTCTGGTCCTAGTGAGGAGCAATGTGAAATGCCCGTGTAACTTCACGTCCTCCCCCTCCGATTCCTGCTGTACCTGGAGGGGTTGAACCGCCCACCCCGGCTGGGTTCAGGCTTGGTCATGCCATGCTTTGGTCCGTGGCATCTCACTCTGCATGCTCTGCCCTGTCTTCTCTACGTGTATCCCCCTTGTCATGTCAGCATTTGATCAGACTTTCATCTCCTTTAGGGTCTTCTGTTATCCCATTTTAGCTCCTGGCAAGGCAGCGAGTGATCTCACCACCTATACGGCCAGGCAGCTGCCAAAAAAATAAAAGAAAAGGAGAGGCTGGACATACATAATTTAAAGTTTTTCATAAGAACCATAACAGGGTTTTCCCCAGTGTCTGAAGCAGAGCCTGAAACAAGGCAGCTCCGAAAAAGTGGTGAAATGCCAACAGCAGTCGTGTTCCTGGAGCAAAGCCCTTGGGCAGGGCATCGTCCGGCCATGAGCAGAGAAACACAGCAGGCAGCAGATGGACAAGAACCAGCAAAAGGCAGTTTCTTGGCATGTTCATGTTCATTTCCAGGATTTGAAGTATCACATTTTCCTTTCTTGCTACATACAGAGGCGTTTGGGGCTTTTTTTTTTAAAAAAAAAAAAGAACCACCATACTTTTGAAGCAAAAGATTTTTGTGAAGCAGAATTGGTAGCAGCAACACTCTTCTTGTTCTCCTTAAACTTGAATTTGTTAAACTTTCATGAAAGATTTAATGTTTTTAAAGGGATTTCAGGTCTATCATACTATTAAAGTACTCACAGAAAAAATTTAGAAACCAAAATAGGCTGCAGTCAGTTGGGTACATAACTTCATGTTGGAAGAGGGACAGTTTCACAGAAAAACTTGTAAGGGCAATATTTTTCAACTAGTGATTATTCATCATCTTCTGCCATTCCAAGACTAAGCTGTGGATTCATATTTGATGAGCCCATTTGGCCTTCAGACGCTTTTACAGGAACTTTTTTTCTTCCTTTTTAATTTTTTTTTTTTAAATGTGAACAAGATCCTTTGGTCCAGCTGTCACAACAGGCAAGCGCTGTTTACATCAGGGTTCTTTTTTTTGGACCAGATTTGTTCAAATAAAGAGACAATGTGTGTAACTTCCAGCTCTGCAAGCCTAGGGAAGAAGACAAAAGTCAAGCTGCCTCCTGCGTTGCTGCCATTATTGTTTAGACACTTCAGGGTCAGTTTCTGGCCTTGATTATATTTCTGTCATCCTTTTGTCTAACTAGGATGATGCTGATTTAAGGAAGGCGGCTTGGCTGTGCAGCTGCCACCTTGCTAATGGAGGAAAGCCCAGCTCAGTTTCAGGTTGCTTTCCATCCCAATTACTTGCTTCTTCATGGACTATTTGTGGGGTTTTCCCCTGTTTGCAACTGATAGCTGAGTTTTAAACACAGAGGACTGAATCCTGAGTAAGGAGATGCTATTCTGGGGTAAAGCGCTGCTGCAGAAGAGGAGCATACTGTAAACATAATGGGTTTATCTCTTTTTTTTTTTTTTTTTTTTTTTAATTTGGACAGAGTAGGTTAACTGCTCTTCAGGAAGCCAGGTGCTTTTTTGGTAAACCTCTTCAGATGGCCACAGTGTAACTAGAGGGCTCTTGATGAAGAATCCCATTATTATCCATCTAATTTGTTTTAAGTAACCAGCATTATGAGGGATGCTTAGTTCTAATTTTAACTAAACTTGCTCAGAGGAGCATATTAAATACATCCTGACGGTGTTTTCAAATGGATATTTTTCTCCCCATGCTGTAACTGATTGTATTTTCCCTCTTTATCCTCAGGGATTTTTCTGTTTTGCTCTGGCCTTCTGGGGATTGATCCCAGCTGCCTGCTGGAGATACACACACAGCACGGAGGTAAGCTTCGGCTGCTAGGAAATACCACCAGCATCTCGTCAGATAGAGATATTTTTTGTAGCAACTATTTCTCCCATAAAAGGGACATCTGGTGGTAATTAAGCCGTCCATACCGAGGTCTATCAGATGCATGCTCTGTCGCATCCGTCCTTTGCAAGAACGGAGCCGCCTTCGTCAGCTGCCTCTCCAATGGGGTCATCTGAAGGGAGAAGCCATGGAAACCCCCACGCAGGGCAAACTCTTTGTCCTGAAGGCAAAACAAAATGCGAGTCTCATTTTAAATAGCTTTTGGATCTTTTTGCAAGGGATGCTTTTGTTTTGTTTTGTTTTAAATGAGATGCTTGACTTTTGAAAAGTGATTTTCAGCCAGCTCTAATTCCTGCTAAAGTCAGTTCGAAGGAGGTGGCGGGTTGTGACTGTTCAGGTTGTCTCTGGCAGTGGCCAGGATAAACACCCAGGAGATGTCTTTATTAACTGCCAGCAGTGGTACAGTAAAAACACTAGCGTGAAAAATGGTGTCTGGACGGTCAGCTGTGACACTGGACCAGAAAGAGAAGATTGTGTGAGGTCAAATTTGCAAGAGAGTTGGGTTTTGAACTGTTAACCCAGAGCTTGCTGGCGCTGTGGTAGATGGATGCTGTTGGGGATGCACAGTGCTGGGGAAGTCGAGTTGAGGCATGCAGCTTTGCTAAGGGACAGCATCACAGTGGGTGCCCTTACCCGGGGGCTGGGATGCTCCTGGTGCCAGGGTAGCAGGCTGCTGGGGAATGCAGAAATTGAACTTAATATTTAGTAGCCTAAAGAAGTTTAGACTTTTTTTTTTACCCCTTTATTATCTGATATAAATTTGTTTTTTGTATATTTATTCCTCTTCCCATTCAGAGGACTTTGTTGTAGCTTGATCTTAACTGCCCTTCCTGCATCCCTGCACTCAAAAAACAAAACAAAACAAAACAAAACAAAACAAAACAAAACAAAAAGAGAGAAATGTAGGAGTGCAAAAAAATAATGACTTCTTTTTTTTGAAAGCAGAACACTGATATTTTAGGCAAGCATCCAAAGTATCTAACAGTAATCCAGATAAGTGTTTGGGCCTTTGATAGATGTTTCATGCCGTGGATCAATCCTGTTTTGCTCCTCCCAGCCCCAGGCACATGCCAGAGCCTGCAGTGTTCTGGCCATCGATGAGATCATGGGGATGTGAAACATCATGCCAGTGGATTAGGGTCATGTTGATGCTGCCAGCTCATCTCTTTAGGGTTACAGATGTTGGGGGGGATTGAAGACCAGTGTGTCAGAAGGCTGGCCATGAGATTTCGTTCTGTGCTGGAGGAGCAAAACTCCATCAAAACCACAGAATCAGTCCACGCTAGGACTGTGGCAACTGCACTTCCTGGGGACAAGAAGCTCTGTCCCATAGTGGATCCATGTCCTGTGCAAAAAATTAAAATCCAGTTCTTCTGGAAGCAGAAGTGTAAAGGGCAAACTCAAGGTTGAGGGGTAAGGTCCTGCTTCTCTAGAAAGTTTGTCCAGAGCTGACCAGTGGCCACAGTAGTTGAAAGTCCTCTGAAATACATAGATGGCTATGCTGGATCAAACCAAAGGTACCTCCTCTGAGACAGGCACACCTGCTGTTGGCCAAGGCATGAGCATAAAAACCAAGCGAACACAAAGCAAGGCTTTTTCAGATGCCAACAGCTTGCGGCTCAGGTGCCTCCTGGTGGCACCTGGTGGTGCCTTTGCCTTTAGTGCTCTCAGTGGATTTTTCTTCTGTGAATATGTCCAGCTGCTTTGGAAAATTAGAGTGAGTACTGATGGCACAGCAGCATCTTTTATCTCTACACTTACCTGGCTGAAGCAGATTCAGTCAGAACTGAAACATCCATGAGAAAGTCTTTCCACAACCTCTATATATATTTTCCCTGGTTTCAGGCTAAAGTATCAAAATTTATTATATTCACACTAACAATTTAATATGGAAATAATCTTGTTTTCATGACCAGCACAAAGCACTTTCCTCCTCCTCCTGCAGAAGTTTGTAATGAGAGATTGAAACAACAGCTGTGTTAGTAAAGGAGAAATGGCACCAGAAAGTGTGTCTGGTTGGTCTTGGGAAATTGCATTATCCGGACAGACTATTTAGTTAGACTTTTTAATCCACAAGCATGGAATAGGCTGCAAGAAAATGTTGTATATTGGGTTAATATAGGGACGTGCCATTCGAAAAAATATTTTGCTGAAAATATTTAAAGGAGAATAATTACTTTCTCTGTATATCTTTTAATCAGTACATCTGTTTTATTTCAAATTATTTTCCTGGGTTTTACTTTTTGCTTTGAGTGCCCTGCCCATAATTGCACCCATGTGTTATGGTTAGCCTTAGTAGTTGGTTCAGTTTCTTTAAGCAAAACAGCTTCCACTAGGCAAAATGAAGTTTTCTTGCAAAATGTTTACTTTCTGGGTAAAGAAAACCAGCAGTGTTTCTGACAACAGAAAAATTAAAATACAATTAGAGATCGTCTTGGGTTTCTCTGCTTCCTAAAATGCAAAGAGAAACAAGGAATGTAAATGAGGAAAGATTTAATTAGGCATGTCACTTACAAAACATGTGGAAATTCAGTTTAGCTTGGAAGGTAACCTGTCTCACCAGTGAGAGCAGTGCACATGTGAGAAAGCAAGGCAGATGTGACTGCCCCTCCAGGACAGAAAGACAGGTAGTGCCACCATAAAGAAAAGTGAATGGAGCCTCCTAGAGTCTCATTATGGAGCCATTTGTTTGTCTGACTTTCTTAAGGCAAAGAGCAAAATTAAAGCAGGTGTCCTCCCCAGCCTACAGCGTGGCAGTACTGTCAGCAATAGTTAATTGAGGCAATAATTGAGGGAAAAAAATCAAGCTCAGCCAAATTGACGGGTGTCTTTTAAGCCTGATATGATGTACACAGTTATCAAGAAAGGAAGAGAATTTGGTGATGTAAAACTGAATATGGATGAATATGCCCATCACATGTGCCTGAATCAGTGCCCCTGAGAGCACTGGGGGCCTACTGCCCCCGCGTTCATTGCTGAAACAAAAATTTGTATTTTCTCCATGCAAAGTACGTTGATTTTCCAGTGAAAAGCTAGACAGAAAAACAGCCTGTTCAGTTTGGAAATGCCAGCTGGGAGCTGGCGTCAGCAGATCCCGTCCTCTCCCTCCCCATGGCAGCGCTGGGAGCAGAGCCCTCCCCTCCCTCTGCAAACCAGGGCACGGGAGGTCCCTCCTGCACCAAACCACCGAGGGGGCTCTCCGTGGTTTACTCCTCGCGATCAAAAAAAAAACCTACAACCAAAACCCCACCTAAATTTTCTTCATAAAGCAGACCCCTCTTACAGAAAATCATCTGAAATGGAAAAGCCCAATATTCAACTGAAAAATCATTTTGATGGTTATTTTCAAGAAGCAGTAGATAGAAATGTTGTTTGAACATGATGAAAGCAAGATGCCCTTTTTGCCTTTGTGACGCTTTCAGAGCTGTGTTTACAGTACTTCTTACAGGACAGGGACAAAAAAGAAGAGTTATTTGTAAATATTTGATATTATCAGACATGGGAACTGTAAAGAAAATGTGAATCTTTTCATTTCCCATTCTTTTCTGGTTTTGTGACCTTCCATAGCTCCCGAATGAATTCTTTCAGACAGATGCCATGTGTTTTAATTTCAAGTTACCTTCATTCCAGATGGTCTTGGTGTCACCGTAGTCTTTATTCTTAAAATAACACATACCAGACATGCAGAAATCATGAATCTGATATTTATCGTGCTTTACCCTAAAAGGTTGATCCTTCCGTGTAGCATTGTAATTATTCCTGCTCTAGTGACACATCCATGTGGCCAGTGGATGGGTTCTGTGATGTCCAAGCTTCATCCATCTGCCTGTGTTAAACAAGGAACTAATAACCTACACATTCCCAAAGTATGTTTGTCTGGTGGGTTCTGCAAAGAAAATGGTGCACAAAATGAGAAAGAACAAATAAGAGTAACATCCAGATCCTCTACCTGCCTTGCATGCAGCCTTTCTGTTCGGGTCAGACCCCAGTTTACAAAGAAACCCTTTGCCTCTCAGACAGTGGCACCAAGGGAAAAAGTGTTGCTGTCACCTGGAGACGTGTCAAAACTTCTCTGGGCAGGTCAGCTGCTCGGAGGAAAATCTGAAATGAAAATATTTGTAATCAGGAGGTTTTTGAAGTACCTTTTCTCCTGTTAGCCGTAGGGCTGAGCTGTTCCTGGTTCAGTATTTTCTGGCTCAGCTTGTTCCTGAGCCCCATCCTCCCCGGCTGCCCCCAGCACTCCTCATGCACCTCTGTCCCATCAAGCTCTCAAGACCACCGCTCCAGGCACACCCCAGCCCAGCCTCCAAAGCCCTACAAAACTCCAGCGTGCTTTTCTGCCTGGCCCAAATCACTCCAGAGAGTCGATCCCTTCCCACGTCTGACCTAGTGCAGACAAGGGTCTCTGGAATGGTGAGGAGCACGTTTGATTGTCCTCTCTAGGGACCACCTGGCCAAACTGTGGTCCTGTAGGAAAATGTCACAAAGCTGTCTGAGGAACGACAGTGGTGGGACAATCAAAGCGAACCCGAGGCTGACGTACAAGGGGGGGCAGAGGGGATGACCTCTGCATGAGCACCTTTGATGGAACAGCTGTGCAATCATGGAAACGATGACGTTTTAGGATGGTTTTTAGCCACATTAGGAAGTCCCAGTTCCTGAAGACAAAGAGCTGAGTCTTGTTTTCCAAAGTTATTTTTATGACAGCGCCTTTCCCACAAACCACTGCATGTTTAGGTGAGGTGTCTGAGTCATTCCCAGTGTGGCCCAGTGCAGCTGGGACCTGGCATGCAGAGAAGGATGTGGGAAAGATGCCACATCTGGCACAGCTGGTGAGGAAGGCTGCTGCTTCCTCCTCCTCATCTTCCCTTCTCTCCTCACGCATTAACTGCTGCTTTTAAAACCTGCCTGCA